CTCTCTCTCTCTCTCTCTCTCTGTCTCTCTCTCTCTCTCTCTTTGTGTGTGTGTGTGTATGTGTGTGTGTGTGTGTGTGTGTGTGTGTGTCCTTCTCTCTTATCTGTTGTTTTTCGTAAGTTCGCCTTTCATCAACTGTCAATTATAAAATTACATTACGCATGTCCATATCATTCACATTAGCATCATTATGATGATAACAAGTGTTTTAAGTAATTGTCTTTTTTTTTTTAAGTAATGATATCCTACCAAACAACTCTACCGTCCATATCCTTTTGAAGCAGATAGGCTGAAAAAAATAATAAAAGGTAATAATTTTTGTGAGCATTCTTGTGGCTCTCGCGAGAATACTTCAAATTTGGTTTTTCTCACAGAAAATGTCGCCCAAATCGTTTAATTTACCCCAGTTCCCAAAGCTTCAGTCTATCCTTTTGGCGAAGAGGGAAAATTATAGAGAAGACAAACTAAAAGTTATAAAAGACAGCAGAAGATAATACGAAGCCGGCGCCGCTGACTGAGCCAGCTCTGGGCCGGGAAGTATCCAATAATGAGGAAGGCGGCCTTCTGCTAGGACTTGTGAAAAGGTCAACGTCTTGACCCAGAAGTAGTAGGTCTAAACGAGGACCAGGACAGGGTCAGTGAGCCCGCGAATGCGAGCGTCCCTCATTATCAGTTGTATGGCCGCTCTGTGTCATCGGCTGAGGCCGGCCGCTGTCTTGGGATTGATCCTACAGCAGCAGAGGATAATGAGTGTCTGTGCTTATGTGTGTATGTATGTATGTGTGTGTGTGTGTGTGTGTGTGTGTGTGTGTGTGTGTGTGTGTGTGTGTGTGTTGGAATGAGAACTCCTTTGACATCTGTCCTTTTGGCACATGACCCATAACCTTTTTATCACAAATCGCCATGTCAACTTAACACTGCATCACCTAACTAACGTTGCTTCGTTCAAGGACTATAAATACCCCCCCCCCTCCTGGACTATAAAAACTTCTACTTCTGTGATAATTTCACAAAATTCCAGAGTTCTATATATGGGTGGTACAGATTTGACGTAACACAGAAAGGAAACTTCATTACGAGACGCACCGTTAACTATCTGGAGAACTCACTGGCCATCCGTGACCAGTCGTGATACCAAACCTTCGCTTCAAGTACGAGTGTAAAAAAATGAGATTTGAGGGTGGCCAGCGCACGTCCTGATTGTTCGTGGGGGGGGGGTTGAAAAGGAAAATTGTATGGGTGGGGGAGTGGGGGTGTCAAATTTGTCTACCGTTGTGCATTACTGTACAAGAAGGTCAACAGTATAAATCGACACAAGCAAAGCAAAGTCGGGTAATGGAGTTTGTCTGCTGGTCGAAAAGGGAGTCAAACAGATAGATCAGGAAGCATCGACATCTACCATAATCCACTTCGTCAACAACCTTTGTAGCAGAGACTGCCACTCCTAGACATGCATTTCAAAACTGTGACGTTAGTGCTGTACACTGCCGTATTTTGAAGCGAACAAGTAATATTGTCATCACGCAGGAAGTGGCTATTCACTTTACTGCACTCAGATTCGAATGACTTTATTTTTCAACAAAATGGAGCGCCGCCCCCTTGACATCTCTGTGTTCGAACTTTTCTGAATGAAAACGGGCTTCAGCGGTGAATTGGTAGGAGAGGTGCTAAAGACCTCTCTCACTGCGGTTGGCCTGCAAGACCCCTGGACCTCACAGTGTGTGATTTTATTGTTGGGGGTTGTTAAAAACAAAGTTTATGTTCCACCACTTCCAGGAAATATCGATAGCATGAAAGGTCTAATAACAGCTACAATCAACACTGTGGCCTAAGACATTCTGAGGCGGGTTTGGGGGGAATTCTCATATCGGTTTGATACAGTCCGTGCTGCCTGTGGTGGCCATATTGGGCACTTGTAAAACATGAAATAGAAACTTGAAGGTATAAACAACACATACGTCCACACTTGAGTTTTCTATTGTTTATCGATTTTGAAATATATCGCAGGATGATTTTTGTGTATTCTTTTTAAATCGCCCTGTATTAGGTGAAATATGGAATGGTAAAGGTTTAACACCGTTGACTACACTATTATGTTATTTAAAGGCCAGAACCTTCGAGCTAAACGTCCGTCTCCGAAAGGACGGAGCCAGATAAGAAATCCGTGAAAAATGCCTTTCCCAAGGAGAAAACATGGGGCAGAGCTGAGGCTCAAACCCCAGAACCCGCTATCTCACGTTTATGGTCCGGTAGTCAAACCACAAGGCTACTGACACCTTATCATTATGATATTGGTAGTTCATGTTTCACGCCCCCTTTGACACAATAATTTAGATCACGTTTTAAGAGTGGCTGCATCGCCCGTGTCTGGCAGGTTCAACTTACGCTGAAAAGTATACAGCATCCCAGAAGAAAGATGTGAGCGGAGCCGCTTTATAAAGTAAATGTCCTCTGGTAGGGGACCGAACTCGTGTATGATCAGAGTGAGGAATTCAGCAACGAGTGAGCACTAAAGAAAGAGGGGTAGGGGTAGAGGTAAGGATATGAGAAGGGGTAAGGGTAGGGGTTAGGGTTAGGTTTTATCCTTATTGCGTTTGTTAGGGTGCTTGCTCGTTACACAACAACAAAGAGCCTAACCATTTACGAATTCTTCTTCTTCTTCTTCTTCTTCTTCTTCTTCTTCTTCTTCTTCTTCTTCTTCTTCTTCTTCTTCTTCTTCTTCTTCTTCTTCTTCTTCTTCTTCT